AGATAGTGGGTATGTAAATACGAATATAAAAGTGAACATTGAAGTCAACACTCACAGGCTGTTTCATGCAGGACGCAATCGTCAGGCTGCCTTATATATATATATATATATGTACTTGAATATATGTTCTTCCTAAGATTCACTAAAAAGTGAGCATACATGGATAAAGGCGTTGGTTAGATCCAATGACAGGACCCAAAGAATGTGAGTTTACCCCAGTGAGCGAAATAAAGAGCTAAGTTCAACATTCAAACTACCTGAAGAAGGCCGAAACGTTGTAATAAATATGGCGACAAAGATGATGACAATAGTCCGAATAATGTAAATAATGTACAGGAAAGCAAGAAGTTTCTTTTCTTACTTCTCCACAACTATAAAAGAAGAAAAATAAAAAAAGATAACGATTGACATTGCATTTAAATTTTGAAAGATCAAAATGTCTGCAAAGCAAAAATGTGGAAGAGAGTTCCACAGGGGAGAAGTGTGAGAGAAACGTTTTTTTGTTACCTTACTTATTTAATTTCATGAAATTTCGAAAAATTCTCTTTTTGTGGGGCTTAATGTTTATTTTAATTAAAAGCACTAATCCATGGAGAATTTAAATTATCAATTTAATTTTTTTTGTAAAGCAGGACCCCTAGTTACAAAAAATCAGCCTTGAATCGTAAAATAAAAAATGTAATAAAACGGTGACATTATTTAATTAGAAAGAGCTTTTGTTTTTATGAATGGGATACATTTTGGACACTATTGTCTTAAGAAAATATTTTTTCATTGAATATTGAATTTTTTCAAGAATGTTTTTTTTTAATTTAATTCATTATAATTTATAAACTTTTAAATCAATTAAAATTCTGTATTAGTTGTAGCGGTTAGTTGATATTGTTATCAAGTAAAAACCATATTTGCTAATCATAAATGATGGAAAAGCTTGCTACAATTCAGCGAACCCCAGTATTTTAAAAAGAATTTTGATTTTTTTTTAGACGTGCTGATTTTTGTAAATCCGGACGTCTGTAAACAACCTTATCAGAAAATAAGTGCGGTAACTCTAGTGGTAAATTTAAAATCCACATTTTGAAGGTTCATAGAAGGATTAAAAACAATTTAATAATAAAAAATATTCTTTGATTTCTCCTCTTAATAATAACCTAAAGATTTTAAGGAAAATAAATTTTTTTTATTAAGTTCTGGGCATTTTTTTATCAGGTCTCGTCATTTTTTATCCGAATCTCTGAAGGTTACTATATTATATATGAGTGTGTGTGTGTGTGTGTGTGGGTGTAGGCGTGTGTTTGTGTGTGTTTGTGTGTGCTTGTGTGTGTGCGTGAATTTGTGTGTTTTTCTTTAGAAGCAAAGTGAGTATTACTTACCCGATAAAAATCATCCTGTACAAAATGTTAAAATATCTTCATTTATTAAATGTAACACATATATTTCACTCGTCGCGCTAAGCCCTTTAAGGCACCCTGTGAGTTTTCACCTACTGAGATGAAAACCCGAAATATTTAAATAGATATGGACCTCCGATATGTTAAATTCAATCTGAGATACTCACTTCCTCTAATAAAACGACATATGATACTTCTAGGTGTCATAAATTGGACGAAAGATTAAAGTCAGCCAGTACGCATGGTATTCAGCACTCAATAGCAGTTGCTCCTGATTTGGTGAAAGAATTCAGTTGAACTTTGTTTAAAATGGCGTAATTTCCCATATATAATACGTCTTCATCCATAATACGCACACCTAAAATGTGCTGAAAGTGTGGGAAAATGCTTCTACTCACGCATAATACGCACCCATTTTTTGGTAATCAAACCCTATAAATTGTACCTCTCCAATTTCATTACAGCCATCATTTCCTACTCTTATCAAATATCGTTTTAAACATAGAATTATATTATTCTACTTTAGTTTTATGATAATTTTTATTTTATTTTCCATTTGTAAATATTGTTAGGTACATATGATTGTATTTAACATCCTTATGGGGTCGCAATCGCCGAATGTTATTGTCAAATTGTTATTTGTTTGTGGTGAGTAGTCATTTCGCAACTGAAATCGACCTATGAAACGGCAATTTTTTTAAAGATTTTTTGTAGCTGTGCATAATACGCACCCCTAATTTTGCTTATTATTTTTTAGATGCGTATTATACATGGGGAATTACGGTAGTTGATTGTGAATAATTGTAATGATTTTACATACTGATACATAGAATTAAAGGATTTACTTTTAATTTGCTATTTCTACTACTTTGAGCATTATCCTACTTTTATAGATATTATTGAAGACTCACATTTGAAACATACGCCTCATTTTTATTTTAAGTAGTGTGGGTTATATCTATCGGCCTGCGCATTCGAGGAATCTATTTGCCGGCAGGGATCGATTCTACATCACCGTTTGTCGTATAAATCACTGTTTGAGCCGGCTTTAGACGACTCAGTCAAGAACTTCACAATTAAGTAAAGGTTTTACATTCACTTTTTAAAGAAAGAACTTCCTCTTCACATACATTTTTTTTAAAATTAAAATAACATGAAAATAAAATCGGGTCGTCTATTTCAAATACGAGTGCCCACTATAATAAGGTTTCATGTAATACGTATATATGTATATATATTTGCACTTATTAATGTTCGGATATCATGTGTATATCAACTGACGATTTTATATACAAATATACATTTCCATTCTTTTTAAATGAATGAATGAATGAATCTATCTATCTCATTCCGTTCATATCTATCTATCTATCTATCTATCTATCTATCTATCTATCTATGAAGTCCTGCCTGATTTCAGGTTGTATATCCGATTCCTTCCACATACTTAGAATGTATCAACCGAGAGAAAACCTACCAAAAAATAGGATAGACAAACTAGTAAAAAACAAAACAAAAAAACCGTAATAATAATGAAAAATATCCATTGTAGAAATTAAATAATTTTAGACTACTACTACTACTACTACTACAAATTGAAAATAATAATTCTCATTAAATATTCTCTCTTTTTTTCTACTCTTTCTCGTTCTCTTTCTATGAAGCAAAAGTCTATTGGAATTAATACGAATGCCCCATGGTGTCATCATTATCGATTTAAGCACGCCAGACACGACGATTCTTGCTACAAAAGTTTCGAGAGTTAAAAATAAATCCAAGAGACGTCAAAACTTTTTGTACATTTTAAGTTAATCCCCCTCACTCCACACACACACACACACACACACACACACACACACACACACACACACACACACACACACACACGACAAATTTTAACCATTTGCCTCCGGAAAAGGCCGAGAATAAATCGAGGTAATTCTTGCCTTGTGTCATTAAAAAGAAAAAGAGAGTGAGAGAGGAAATGTGAGAGAGGTAGAGAGAAAGCGGGAGAGTGAGTATGAGAGAGAGAGACTAGAAGAAAGAGAAAGAGAGCAAGTAAAGAAGAAGATGCGGAAGAGAGTGGAGTTGGAGAGACCGGAAAAGGCGAGGTAAAAAGGGAGTAGGAGGGAAAATAGGAAAGAGAGTAAGAGAGAGTGGGAGTAGGAGTGAGAGATAGAGGGAAAGAGGAAACAAATAAAAATATGTCGACATCATTGTTTATCAAGTAAATATTTCGAGACTGACTGCAGACGTTTATAGAAACGTCTCAAAAATCAGAATCTGCATTTGATACCAAAATATTACCACTTGCACTTCGTTATTATACTGATAATACTGCAAATATTTCTAAAAAAAAGCATATAATAAAAATAATAATAATAATAATAATAACTAATGACTATTGTGCCAATTGGCCTGGCAGTTTCCAATCTTATTACCAATCTTACAATGATAAAATGACAAGGTTGGGCAATATATAAACATGACGAAGGTTTACAATGCATCCTATATTCACTGGAGAACCAGTCATAAAATACGAAAAAATTTTTTTACAATGCATCAGACAACTAAAAAGCTATGTATAGTGTATGACCATAACCCTGAACCAGTCATAAAATATCATGAAATGTCTTTACATTATTCAACGACGTTTCCTTTGCTTTTACATTTATTCGGACTTAGTCATCTATTTATTACAACAGTTTTCTATATTTCAGACAGACATATAAAATTCGGACTATTGTCCTCATCTTTGTCAATATTTAGTCAACGTTTCGGCCTTTCATATATATTTCTGAGATGAATAAAACATTATTCGGACTTTGTCCTCATCTTTTGTCACCATATTTAGTACAACGTTTCGGCCTTTCAGTATCTGTCTATATTTCTGAGATGAGGTATTATGTATTATTTACATTATTATTCGGACTATTGTCCCTCATCTTTGTCATATTTAGTACAACGTTTCAGCCTTTCAGTATCTGCTAGATATTTATTACATTATTTTGTCCTCATTAATTTAGTACAACGTTTCGGCCTTTCAGTATCTGTCTATATTTCTGAGATGACAAATCTTTGATATTTAGTACAACGTTTCGAGTATCTGATATTTTCTGAGATGAGGTATGTACAACATATTCGGATCCATATTTAGAAACGTTTGGCCTTTCAGTATCTGTCTATATATGTAAATAGTGCACATTTACCGGACTATTGTCCTCATCTTTGTCAGAAAAGATATAGACAGATATAGACAGATAAAAGGGCCGAAACGTTGTAATAAATATGGCGACAAAAATGAGGACAATAGTTCGAATAATGTAAATAGTGCACATAATACCTCAGTTCAGAATATAGACAGATACTGAACGGCCGAAACATTGTAATAAATATGGCGACAAAGATGAGGACACAAGACCGAATAATGTAAATAGTGTACATAATACCTCATCTCAGAATATAGACATATACAGATAGAGTATAGCATTTAACTAGAGTTTTTATATATAGTATTAATGAATTAAAACTGTAGAAGATATTAAAAAGTTCACCGAAAGTATAGACAAATATTACAAGTAATGTTAGAGGAATAACGTACATACTCTATTAACTCAAGAAAGTAAGAGAGAGAGATAAACGGGAATATAAGAGAGTGAAAGAGAGAGAGAGAGAGAGAGAGAGAGAGATAAACAGAAATATAAGAGAGAGAGAAGTTAAGTGAGAAATAGATAGATAAACAGAAATGCAAGAAAGAAAGGAAGAGAGAGAGAGAGAGGGATAAAAAGAAATGTAAGAAAGAGAGAGAGAGGGATAAACAGAATCGCAAGAGAGAGAGAGAGAGAGAGAGAGGGGGTTAAACAGAAATATAAGAGTGATAGAAGGTAAGAAAGGGAGAGGTATAAACAGAAATGCAATTGAGATAGAGAGGGAAAATATCTCTAGCTAAACTAAAGCTTTATCAGAGAGAAAAAGAGAACCTAAGAGAAATTAAGAAGGTGAGGCAATGAATATATATATATATATATATATATATATAGGATAGATAAATCGATCAATAGATAGACTGACATAGTTACAAGTAGACACAAGAATTAACTAAGAAAACTAAAGACTAAGATCGATAAATACATCGATAATTAGGAAAAAACTGATATCGTTAAGCTGAAGTTGACAAAAGAAATTGAGGTAAGAGGGAGAGAGACAGTAAGAGAGAGAGGAAGTATGAGAGAGATACAGTAAGAGAAAGAGGAAGTGAGAGAGAGAGGCAGTGAGAGACACAGTAAGAGAGAGAGGAAGTGAGAGAGAGACAGTAAGAGAAAGAGGAAGTGAGAGAGAGAGGAAGTGAGAGAGAGATACAGTAAAAAAGAGAGGAAGTGAGAGAGAGATACAGTAAAAGAGAGAGGAAGTGAGACAGAGAGAGAATAAGAGAGAGAGGAAGTATGAGAGAGAGACAGTAAGAGAAAGAGGAAGTGAGAGAGAGAGGGAGAGAGAGACAGTAAGAGAGAGGAAGTGTGAGAGAGACAGTAAGAGAGAGAGAGAGGAAGTATGAGAAGAAGTTTGAGAAAGAGAAAGTATCAGAGGGCAGGATTCGAGAGAGAGAGAGAGTAAAAGAGAATCAATTTCTAAGAGAAAGACAGTAAGAGAGGAAATGTTCTACTCACAGACAGTAACAGAGAGTGAGGATGCGAGAGAGGGACAGTAAGAGAGAAAGGAAGTGTGTGAGAGGCAGTGAGAGAGATGAAATGAGAGAGAGGCAGTGAGAGAGACGAAGTGAGAGAGAGAGAGAGAGACGAAGTGAGAGAGAGAGCGAGAATAAGTTAGACATGAGTCTGCTGTTTTAAAAAATGACACTTATAAAATTTGTCAGGGTACTTTAACTGGTACCTCAAACCCCAAATAGGATGGCACTGAAAGTGATTAAAGATTGATGAATAGATTGGAAGTGACCCATAAATCATACATATTACCAGACTCTTTTTATAGTCAACGCTTAGAGGCGACAATTGTGTCTAGCATGAAACAGCCTGTCGTCTTTAAGTTTTTGATTTCAATGTTCACTTTTATATTTACACACGCCCTATCTGATATTGAGCACTTTATTGAATAAATATAGCACACCTTACGACTATATTGTTCATATATATATATATATATATATATATATATATATATATATATATATATATATTTCCACATCCACAGATATACTCTTTCACAGCTCATCAATGATGGTTAGACATCCGATTGCCTCAAGCCAAGATCGAAACCCGACCGATTTGGCATCTCCCGTTGGTTTCTTTGTATGAGGATCTGACAGCTTAGTTGATTTAGTTATGAAATTTTGTGCGATAATCTTAAGTGGCATTTAAGACCCACTAGTGATTTACAAAGGAGGCCGCATATGGAGCAAGTGTGAGGATTGTGAGATGAGATCACTGGTAAAATTTTGTCTACTTATTTTTAATAGAATCCTCTCATAATCACAGACAAGCTTCTTATTACCCTTATTAAAAGAAAAGAGAAAATTACCATGTTAATACATATTAATTTATTTCGAGTACTTTCGACATTTACACAATGTCATCATCAGGGTGTTGTTGTTTTTTTTTTTTCTAAGACAAAATTGTTGTGTTCATCTGAAAGTTAAATATTTTCACGCTGTAAACGTCTGGGGAGTGTAACGAGCATATGTTTTTATTTTAAATGTATCTTGTATTCTAAAAATGACTGCGTACCAAATACATTTATTACATAAGTGATATACAAGATTTCGAGATATAATTTAATATTCGAATAATATTACATCCCTGAGATGGTCACCACGAAGAGAACATGCATGAGCTCGCTCACTCATTTCAAACACAGATATTATGAGAGCCCACTGACAGCAAATGAGATGCCAGATTCCTGGAGGAAATAGCAAAAAAAGGGAATATGTTGAACTCTTGTATATGAAGTTATATAATTAATATATTCTGTACTCAGGATATCATTTTTATAATCCAAGATAGTTGGTGACTCTCATCATTATGGAACACCCTACGACCCGAAAAAACATTTGTTTATTATAAGCAGAGAATTTACTTAAATATTTGTATCTATAAAAGAATGTATAAACATAAAAATTTATATATATATATATATATATATATATATATATATATATATATATATATATATATATATATATATATAAATCAGGAACCAATAAAACTGTCATAATGACCAAGGGAATTCAGAGCAGCATGAATCCATCCAGCTCGTATCTTAAAAAACAACTTAAAATAAGCTGTTTTACCAACACAAGTACAGATAAAGTACATTTTCTCCTTCAAAAACATTCATTTTTGTAGTTCACTGCTGCCTAACAAGCAGAATTTTTATTTCTCCTGATGATGGCCATGTTGGCCGAAACTAGTCGAGGAATCTAACTGAAATAATAAAAACGAAAAAATATTAATATACAACCCTGTGTGTGTGAAGATTTTAATTTTAATGTTTTTTTATTGTTCAAAACGTATATATATATATATATATATATATATATATATATATTGTTCAAAAATATGTATATTTTATGTTTTGAAATATAAAAAATATTAGAATATATATATTAATATTTTTATTGTTCAAAATATCTTGTCATCTCTTCTCTCTCTATATATATATATATATATATATATATATATATGCAAACAGAATTAAATAGATAGATAGATAGAGAGAGAGAGAGAGAGAAATAAAAGATAGATACCTAAGTACGAATGGTATGATATTCAGCAACTGATAGATAATGAGTGTTAAGTTAGATGAAATCAATATAATCAATAGAAGCCGGTGTTTTCGTGTCGTCGATGGTACTTGAAACCTGATCTGTCGCGCCAGAATTTCCGGGTTTATTTCATAACGGATCACATATTGTTTGTTCATTTTTTCCGTGCACACACACACACACACACACACACACACACACACACACACACACGCACACACACACGCGCACACACACATAAACAAGCCTATATGTACACATACAAATCTAATCTAGACTAACAGAAAAAACCTAGCTGAACATTCAAAGCAAACCTCCCCATCCGACATTCAAAAACTGTATCTGATGAAGACGATTAAAACGTGTAAAGGCACATAATGAGGACTCTTAGCCTTAAGATTTAAACGTATAGTGGTTGATATATTTATTTATTCTTTTACTTTAATCATATCACCTCCAAGCAAGACAATAAAGCCACTAAGACGCAATGGGTTACTGAGTGTTAGAGAATATGAGAAAATAAAACTTTATTAAGGAGAGAGAACAATAAATGAACAGGAATTAAGAAGGCAGAAGATAACGATTGACATTGCATTTAAATTTTTGAAAATCAAATTTGACTGGAAAGCACAAAAACCGAAAGAGAGTTCCACATGCGAGAAGTGCGAGAAAAGAAAGTGTTAGCACAGAACTTAAGGTTTCATCTAGTCATTTCAACTGTAAAATGATGAAACCTTGCTACCAATCTAGAACTGCACTTAGATTCATAATGTCCAGTCACGAAAGAGGAAAGTTCATTAGAACAAAATTACCAATGAAAATATTTATAGAAAAGGCACAGGGAAGATACGTTACAACGGTGGGAAAGTGACTGGAGCCTAGATGCCAGGTCCAGACCAATAACATTGCAGACTTTTCTTCGTCTCTCATCAAGAATCTCTAAATACATAACAAAAGCACCAGATAAGATTTGACAGTAATATTCAATGTATGGACAAACGGTAGACTTATAAATTTATTAGAGAGATTATGGCAAGAAAAATTGTCTAGTTACTTAAAGAAACATGGCACAGTGGATAAAGGCGTTGGTTAGATCCAGTGACAGGACCCAAAATCTGGTTACCGAAGTAACTGTTTTGATTTCTAGTCTAACCTACCCACGTTGTGATTTGATCTTAGGTAGACGAAATCAATCAGTCGCCGGGCCGTAATGCAAGTCGAGTCCGGACAAGGTAATACCGCACAAGTATATGTAAAAGAAAATAAAATAATAACTCGAAAAGTTCAAATGTGTTAAAAAAAAAGATAACAATATTTTATATCTGGTTGCTGAATACAGGAGTGCGTCTTCCTCCCAAACCGCTATATGGATTCGTGACACTTTGTGTTTGTTAGGCGAGTCTTAACATCTTAAGTTGTTTGTTCTTTAAGAAACTGGTTCTTGGTGTATCTTCAGGCGATATTCGTAAAACTTGTTTTGGTGGTGTGAGTCTAAGTCGTTCTTCAAAAATAAATTGTTCTTGGTTAGAAGTTGAGGTCGTGATTGCGTGGAATCTTTCAGTCAGCTTCCTGCGAGGCGGGCCTCAGAGCTCAAGCTCAACTCTGCTGCTGCTGTCTTAACTCCAACTGCTGCTCAACTCCAACTCAACTCAACTGCTTTCTCGTTGCGACTCTGCTTATATGGACGCCGACCAAAACCGGGGTGGGCTTGTCGGGGTTTGAGGTTCCTTGATAATTCTAAATCCACAATCCACTTCTTTGTTTTCGGTCAGGAAAAATTTATTATTTTCCATTTTTGAAGTCTTTTTCGTCCTCCCAAATTCTTCTGTTCTCATATTGGTATCTCACCATACCCTCAGAGGGTGTCAACAGGTTTCCCTTCTCTCTCACAGTGGCATCTCACACCGATCCCTTCAGGGGGGGTCAACAGGCCTCCTCCTTCTTCACATGATTACCTTCGCCTACCGCTCACGCCACCATTCAGCCAATGGGCGCTCAGCAGCGTGGGTGTGGCCAAACTAGCCTCGGTTTAAAAAATCTTGCTCAAAGAAAAAAAAAATTATCTTCCTTTTTTTTTTTTTTTCTTTTCTTTTTCTTCTTCCCGACAACAAGTCCTTAAACTCTTATCTTAACCGAATGTCACCTGGAATTTATCAATCAGGACCTTTTCGCCAAACAAGTGGGTGGTCAATTGGACGTATCATCTTGGTGCCAATTATTCGTTCTGATAAAATAATTTTTTGCTATCATAGCCAGCCCTGACAATAAAACAGGTGTTTTTCCAAACGAAATCCCGTAATAGACAATGGGTTAGGTTTTTTGTAACTCTGGGTGGTCCATTTTGACATTTTTTTCGGTCAGTTGACCTAATTAATTTTTATCTCCCAGCACTTCTGTTTCGTAGGCCACTTGACCAACCTGAAATTTTTTATTGCCATGGGCAGATTGGATATATCTTATTCGGTGCGTCGTCATAAATTAAATTAAATCCGACATCTCCGCGATCTTACTTTCCTCGCTAATGAGAATAAAACCTTTAGCACTTTTCTTTGTTAAAAAAAAAATAACATCCTCTTTTCGTGATGGCTTCTTATCACCTAAATTTAATTCTCGCCTTTTTTTTTTTTTTTCTTTCAACCCTAAATAGTGTCACAATCTTAATATAAGCACATATAGATGATTGACAGAAACCTAATGTATTTAAGTTGATTATAATACTGTAAATATATGACAGTGGAAAATTTCAAATTTTAAATATATTTTCCTAATATCTTTACATGATGACAGAGTGTAATGTTAAATATCTTAATTATGTTTAATTTGAATCATTCTGTAAAAATCTGAAAGAATAATACTTTATTTATTAAATTTTTTTATATTTACAACTTTCTAAATACGACGTTATTTTTTTTAAAACAATGTTCATATGACAGAGTAAGTAATTTTTATTAGGCTCTTAAATAAATCTTGCATATGACAGATTTCTTTTTATATTCATCATCATAAACTATCTTCATTTATGACAGTGTATGCATGTCATCATAATACTGTAC